GGTGTAAATGTTACTACAATTCGTAAGAGTACAAATAAAAATAAAATTATACAGCAAGAATAAAAGCTCAGACTAATCTATCTGTGACCTAAACCTACTAGAGTAGTCCTAAGCTCACCTAGATTATAATAGAGGAAATATAATTTATTGAAGTACCATATTTGATTTAGTGAACAGACCAAATATTATATTTCTTTCTAGCCTGGCCAACAGATGAACAGGTATTGAAATAGATGTGTAGTTGATCTGTTTGCCACATATACAAGAATAAATATATATTATATAGGTATGTTAAGTTGAGATGGTAGATTGTGTTGAACTTGATGAATCAGATTGTTGTTTAAGGCTGGAGGATTCAGGTAGTGTAGAAGGGCTTGGATCATTAAAGTATGGATAGTTAAGTTTGTTAAGCTTTCTTCAGTTAGAAAAGTTAGAACAATAGGGTTTCCATAATTATTCATATAATTGTTCATTTATTTTAAGTAATATATTGATTCCTGCTTGAGAAGTGGTCTTGTAAGAAATATTATAATTTTGAATTGTTTAAATTAAAGATATAGAATTAGACCTTTGAGTATAATATTTAGATAGTGTGAATAAGGTTGAAAAGCAAATAGATGAAATGCTTTATGGTTGTTAATTTTGTGAATAAGTTCCTCGAGCTGGTTATTCAGAAGATCTAGTTCTGCTGATTTGAGATACTGTATGATAGTATTAATAATAACTTAATAGATAAAAAAATAGAATTATGCTGATGCAACTAAAGAACAATAAATAGAGATGTATAATAATAAGTTCAATAGAAGCAAAAGAAAATTGAGCATCAGTATATATACAGTAGAACAAGCTAGATCATACTTCACTAATATTACTAGATGGGTCTGTAGTTGTTCTAGCTTTGTTGATAGCCATTTTCTACTATATAAACAGTTAGTATATAATGTTGTAAATCTATCTAATAAAAATTATCAAAGATTAATCAAAAATAATTTTAAACACTGTACTATACTGCCATTCCTTATTATAAAGAATTTAATAAATAATAAATTTATTAATACTTTTTTCATACTATTTGTAGCATCTGTTGAAGTTTTTGAAGATCATAGTATTGACAATATATCTGATAATATTGAAAATCAAGATGATGCTCGCATCTTTGTTAAATCAAACTGGCACTTGTTTGAACAAGCATTTAAATGAGCTCATACTAAAAAATTAACTAACAATTAAAATTATATTCAAGCTGTTATGAAGAGTAATAAATTATTGAAAATAGAGAAAGAAGTATAAGCAGTAGAGCAAAAGAAACATCAGTTAGCTACTTGGGCTCCAGAGAATAAAAAACTATATCTGATATATTTATTATTTCTAGATGAGGCAAATAACTATAATCAGAATGATATAAATAATTAGTGCATAATAACTATAAAAACTACAACAAACTTGTATTTTATTATTGTTTATCTTGTATTTGTATACAGTATTTAATACTTTTTATGAATAGTTTCATAATATAATAAATTGATTTATAATCTCTTTATAGATTCTACAAATTTCTCAATAAATTTTACAAGTTAGAGAAATATTTAAAAACAATAAAATATTAATTAAATTTATTTGAATTAAAAGGTAAGTAGGTCAACATAATAAAAATTATTATAGTAAAAGACAGATATTTGTTATTTAATGATCATACAGTATAAAATTTAACACATAGAATGTCTAGTTTTAATTTGTTAGTTACAACTGCGGCAGTGGTACTACTTATATGATCTGCAAATTTGAAGACCACTCTGGTTGATTTATTGCTTTACTAATTAGGCTGCTAGCTTAAATATTGACTAAAGAAAAAGAATTAGCAGATACCAAAAAACTGGTATTCCTTCTGAGCTATCTGGATTAGTAGTCTGAAGAGACCAGCTAGGAGATACTAAAAAAAAGATACTAGGTTGTCTTGAAAGAAGAGTAACAAGGTTTGTGTAAACTTTGCAAGAGCCAGAAAAGTTTAGCAGTGTAGCCTGTCCGTAAAGGCTTAGAATCTATCTGATAAACTTATTTGCAAAAAGAATTAGCAGTATAGTTTGTCTATAAAGTTATAGAACCTATCCAGCAAGATTTATCTAAAAAAGACTAGATAATATAATAATAGTAGGTACTAAACTGCTTTAGCAGATAATGATCTCAAAGATAAATTAGTTAACTATATCAGTAGTCCTATAAGTAGTTCGCAATAATCTTAGAATTTAGACTAACTAATGTATTATATATTCTGTATAAGATTAGATGAATTGGTATAAAAAACTTAGATTAGAGAATTTAATTAGATAACTCAAATAATAGATAGATTATAGGTACAATATCTAGTATAGAACTTAGTAATAGGTAAACTACTTAAATTAGGTGTTTAAAAGATACAGTTATAGCTAGAATATACTCTTGTCAGAATGTACTTGTTTGAGGCCTCTTGAAAAAAACACCATATAATTCTATAATTTAATAAATATAATAAGCCAAAAAGTCTAATCTTGACTATAAAAAAAATAAAATAAAATAAAAATACAAAAGACATGATCTCACTTTAATACTAAAAAAAAATTAATTATAAATAAAAGTTGATTTGTATAATAAAAAAATCAAGATAATATAAAAATTTATATAAGGTTTTATAGAGCTAATATATTATAAGATTACTTGATAATACTTATTACCTTTAGCTAATCAAAATTATAAAATTTATTAATTCTAGATAAGTTTAAAAATCAAAACAAAATTGGTTTAGGCTGCAGATAAACTAGTCTGAGTCTCTTTTCTTGCTATCATATGATATGAAGTTTAAGGTGTAATTCTTTTCTGTATAAAAGATTTTAATTAAATTTCAATAAAGACAGAGACGTGATCTCACCATTAATATTCAAAAAAAAAAAAAGAAAATCAAAACAAAAGGGTGTGGTGACTTAGTATAGTTGGTAAGTTGTTATACCACCAAATGGCAGAACAAGAGTTTGAATTCTATTGGTGATGAAATTTGAATTTACAAAATGTGTTATAATAAAACTGTATAACATATCGATCAGATAAGCATCTATAACTTTGGTCGTATCAGCTTTGTACTGGGAGGTTGCAGAATATTAGTGTGATATATGAGTTATACAAAACCTGAGTAAAGTAGCCAAATAAATCTAAGGGATTAGGAAATATGGAAGCCTGCTTTAGAATTCTCGAATAAAGAGGTAGCACAGATCTTTGACAGTACTACATAAAGGATTATTATTTGAGAACCGGATACTAGCAGTAAACTGAATGAAGACTGAGTGTTTGGTAAGCACTATACCAACTAGGCTGCCAGACTATTCAGAAAAAAAAGGATTCATTCAGAATACCAGAGGATGCCTACTAGTCCCTCCCAGACCATCTGGATTAGAAGTTTAAGATACTATTAATTGGTATTGAAGTACTGTTAATAATCTGTAAAATGGATACTGAGGTTTGGGTGAACTTTGCAAAGGCACAGAGTAGGTAATGATAGCAAAAATAAAAAGTCACAAGTACTTGACTGCAGCCTAGGCATAAGTTACTAAAAATCTAGATAATATATATATAGAATATAGACTGCTCTAATAGATTTATCACAAGTTCTAAGAGGTTTTAGCGGCAGTTTCTCTTTAGGGAGAATATCTGACAGCACTAAGTTGATCAGAGAGTTTAATTAGATAACTTAAGTAATAGTACATCAGCAAATTTATATATACGAAATTTTTCGAAAAATTTGCATTATGAAAAAATAATAAAAATTTTCAAAAAAAATTTTGAAATATTTCAAATATTTTAAAATTCAAAATATTTTGCAAAATATTTCGAAATATTTCGAAAATAATTTTGAAAAATTTTAAAAGATAAAATTATTTTGCAATATTGCGAAATTTAAATATTTGACTAGTAAGTATTACAAAAACTTCAAAAATTACTTTTTTTGTTTTTACTTTCAATTTTATTTTTTTGGTTTACTTGTTTTTTTTCTTTTACAATATTTTGTTTTTTATTTTGTTAATACATAGATATTTCAATCTTACAGATCTTTGTGCCTGTAATTTTTTTATTTTCTTTATTTTTTATTTATGCGTAACAACCTGTTATACATCTTATTTAACAACTTTAACTTTTTTTTTTTAGATGTGATTTTTCTCTTGAAGTACGGTGTTCCTGAAGTATTTCTTTTACATTTTTGATAAGTTTTTTTGTTAAGTGATCTATTTTTTTCACTCTACTAACATTTCTTCTTTTCTTGGTGATTCTCCTTTAGGTTTGGAGTTCTTAGAATATCTCTTAAGTTTTTATTAAATGGTTTTGATTTTTTTTTTGCTTTACTAATATTTCTTGGTGATTTTTTTTTAGATTCGGTTTTTGGAATATTTCTTTAGCATTTCTGGTAAGTCTTTACGTTGAGTAGTTCTATTTTTTTTTCTCTCTCTCTCTTTTATCATAACTTCTTTTCTTTACTAGAAAAGTCTCTTTCAGGTTCAGGGTTTTGAAGTATTTCTTCGGCATTTCCGGTAAGTCTTTTCGTTAAATTTTTTTTTTTGTTGTTTTACTAATGTTTTTTCTTTTCTCTGTATTTCTCTTTTAAGTTTGGGCTTCTTGGAGTATCTCTTTAGCATTTCTAGTTTTAAAATATTTTTTAGTAAGTCTTTGTTAGGTAATCTAATTTTTTTTTTTTATGCTCTACTAACACTTTTTTTCTTTCTTGGTTATTCTCTTTCAAGTTTGGTTTCTTGGAGTATTTCTTTGGTGTTTCCAGTAAGTTGTTAATTAAGGTTTTTTTTTCTTCTTTGCTCTACTAACATTTTTTCTTGATGATTCTCTTTCAAGCTCAGGTTTTTGTAGTATTTCTTCTGTGTTTTCGGTAAGTCTTTCATTAATCATTAAGTGGAGGTTTTTTTTTTACACTAATATTATTTTCTTTTTTTTCTAGTGATTCTCTTTCAGGTTCAGGTTTCTTCTCTTTGGCGCTTCTGGTAATCTTTCGTTAATTGTATTCTATTTTTTTTTCACTTTATTAACATCTTCTCTGGATAATTCCCTTTTAGGTTCGGGTTCTTGGAGTATTCCTTCAGCTCTCTGGGTTTTTGAAATATCTCTTTGGCATTCCTGGTAAGTCTTTTGTTAAATGTGTTTTATTTTTTTTTTTTGCTCTACTAATATCATTTCTGGATGATTCTCTTTTAGGTTCGGGGTTCTTGGAGTATTCCTTCGGCTCTCCAGGTTTTTGAACATCACTTTGGCATTCCTGGTAAGTCATTCATTAATTGTGTTCTATTTTTTTTTTTTGTTCTACTAACATCTTTTCTGGATGATTTCTTTTTAGGTTCGGAGTATTCCTTCGGCTCTCTGGGTTTTTGAAGCATCTCTTTGACATTCCTTGTAAGTCTTCGTTAATTGTGTTCTATTTTTTTTTTTTGCTCTACTAACACCATTTCTGGAGGATTCTCTTTTAGGTTTGGGGTTCTTGGAGTATTCCTTCAGCTCTCCAGGTTCAGAAGCATCTCTTCGGCGTTTCTGGTAAATCATTCGTTAATTGTGTTCTATTTTTTTTCACTCTATTAACATCTTTTCTGGATGTTTCTCTTTCAGATTCGGGTTTCTGGAGTATTCCTTCGGCTCTCCAGATTATTGGTGCATTTTTTTAGCAAACTTTTTTGGTGGTTCTCTTTTCGGGTCGGTCTTCTTGCTACATGCGTACGTGTTTTTTCAGTGCCTTTTTGGTAGTACTAAGTTTTGGTTTGTTGGTTTATTTTTCGCTGTTTGTGCTTTGTTAAAACATGTATTAGTACGAATTTTTTTTTTGGCAGGTATTAGCACTGAATTTTTTTATTTTTTTATTTTTTGGTGGGTATTAGAATCGAATCTTTTTTTTTGGTGAGTGTATGCGATTAGTAATAGGTATACAAGTTTGTGAAATTATGATGTAATTAAATAATTATGACTATTGCTATGTAATAATGTTATAATATAAAAATTTTAACAAAATTTTATTGACTAATTTTCTGACAAATAACTTTATTTAATAAATAATAAATAATAAATATACAGTATATTAATA